GCCACGCCTGGTACCTCAAGGTATGTAGAAAAACATTTAAGCTGTGTTTATGTCTATGTCCAAATCGCTGATTCTCTGAATCAGCATCAAAGCTTCAGATTCATCCAAATCAAATAGGGGACAGTGATCCAAAATCAACGAATCAAATTACTCTCCCTGATTCAGGCCAAATCCAAATTGAATAGGGCCCACTTTGCACACCCCTAGGAAGTATGAAAGTTTAAAGTAAAGCGTAATTTTTTTTCATCGGTCTGCAAGCCCTGTTGACGTCTCAAGAGATTAAGACCTTACTGAACTTTTCCTTCTAGTAGTGTGTCTTATGACACTAGTGTGAAGGTGCAGTAGACAAATGGCAATCCATTTTAGAAGCTAACATTACTAAGGATTTGTCAAATCTTTGCAAGAGAAGTTTCATTTGTTTCCCCATCATGGGCTTGGGAGCTTTCCTGTGTGGGGTCTCAGTTCAGCAAAGCACTTGAACGCATGCCCTGGTGCATCCCTCAACTGGGGGTTGGAAGATGTGGTTTAGTGATCATTCAGACAAAAATAGTGAAACATGGTAATGGACTACCCACCTTTATATGAGAATTCTACTTTTTAATTTGGCAATTAAAGATCTTAAACTGAATGTGTCTATTTCAATATTGAATACTGATAGTGATACTACACACATCAAAGAATCGTGGAATGCTGTATTGTTTAAGAACAAAAACCATACACTACAGAAAGTACACAGCCAAACTTGTTTGCTGTGATTGAGCTGAGTGGTAGATTTCATTAATATAAAACAATACTGTTATCATCTTTACTTTTATTATTGTATTAGCTTTATTAACTACAGAACAGAGACTGGGTGAATATTAGATAAGATTGCATGTTTCATAAAATCACATTATTTTTCTCTTTGACAAAACAATAATCTTGGAGGTGTTGTAAATTCTGTTTTTCTTTAATAAAAGGCATGTACATGCTCTTTGAATGCAAATTAAGAAAAATGCAGATGAATGTTAAGAGATGGAATAGCCACCTACCACCAGGTAAATGAAACTTGTAAATCTCTTAATAGCAGATTAGCAACACAGAATCAAATTCTGTTCCCATTCACACTGCTGTAAATATGAATTAATTCTAGTGTTACCAGTGACTTCACAGAGGTGTAAATGTGAGCACAGTTTGGTTAGTGCACATTAAATACTCAATTACACTTGGCATTAAAAGTGCGTAACTTTGGCAAGACTAACTAACTCTTCACATACAAAAATTATTCTTGCTGATATACACTTTATCCTTGTGTCAACCCCCCTTCCCCTTTAAGACATGGAGCTGTAATCATATGCTGTTCAGAGAAGAGGCTGATATCATTATCAGATAAGCAAATTAGTTAAATGATGCTTTAACAAAAAGTATTATGATTAATGCAATGTTTTCTCTTTGCATCTGGGTTTATTTTATACCCTTAAGGTTCCTGTTGGAACATGTTGCATGTCTTAATGTCACTTACTTCCTTTTTTTTTCAATAGAGTTTCTTTGAAGGACAGTCGGCACCATGGGACTCAGCTAAAAAAGATGAGAACAGAATGAAGAATAGATATGGGAATATCATTGCATGTAAGTGTTGACAGTGTAATTGTGCTTCTGTATTCACTTCCTTTCAGCGTCTGATAAGAGTGGCCACTAGTCCCTAGCAGGGAGAACTTACATAGAAATTATAACCCTCTTCCTATTGAAAAAGGGACAGGAAGAAAGCTACAAATGAACTCTGAACCAGCAAAGATAACATTTAAGTTTGGTGACTTTATATTTATGTTTATTTGAATTCTGGAAGCACCTAGGTGCAAAGGCTGTGTTGTGCATGACTCTTTGGTTGTAATGGACAAATTATCCCTTCCACGCATAATGGGCAGCAGGAGAGAAAGTACAACTACACTCATGGCAATTTGATAAATGGGCAATCAAGGGTGCATCATCACTGAAGGAGGGACCTTAGTCGATATCTCTATAGCACAGGAGTGGGCACAGGAGGGTCACACAGGGTCTTACAGGTGAAGGCAAGTAGCTTATTTGAGGTAGTAAGAAAGGCAGATCTAGTGAAGGGGATGCCTTTTGAAAGGAGCAAAATAGCTGAAGTGGCAAAACAGGAATGTAATTTCTGCATCAACCTTTTGAAAGGACAGAAATGGAGCATGATTGTATTTATCAAAGCCAGAAAAAAGATAGGTTGCAGGAGTTAAGATATGAGGTAAGGCTGCATCTTGGATTTATTGCAGGAGAAGAACTGGCAATTTTGAAATAGATCCTGGACGTATGTGTGTTCAGAGGCAGGACAGAGTGAAAAATAATGCCTGGGACTGAGTGAGAGGGAAGCTAGCCATTTGATCCCCTCACTGACGTGGCAGATATAAAGTACTGTTTTGTCAGGGTGAGTAGGAGTTGATATTTTATCCATGGCTACAACTATCTCTTGTACATCATACATAGGTAAATTTTACCATATAAATATGATAAGTAAGTAAGGATGGAGGAAAGAATCAGTAACTGGAGCACTAGAAGAAGACAGTAGCAGAACTACAGGTGGGGTAGCAGGGTACAAGCCCTGGGCACAACCTGGGACAGGTGGTACATTGGAAATGAGGCAGGGGCATCTTCTATCCTCCTTAACCCCCTGCTTCCACTGCATGTTACCTGCAGAGGCTCTGGCAGCCAGGCTAGAAACACAGTCACAGGGTTGGTGTCAGGGGAAGCTGCTGGGGGTGTCAGGGGAGTGGCTGAGGGTGTGCAGGTGTGGCCAGGAGCTAAAGGTTTAACCCTCCCCTCTCCTTTTTTTATCACTGAATTTTGGCTTTTAAATTACCACTCAACATATATTCCAGCAGCTTTTACCATGAAAGAGTAGCTCGCTCTGGGTACAAACTATATCAGTTATGTCTCTGGAAGAGGGAAACCAGAAGGCAGGAAAGAGGAGAGTGCAAGTGGAAATCAGGGAGTGATTGGTTCAGGAAGAGTCGTGTTGAATGATGATGGTCAGACAAAGGAAATCCTGTGCTGAAGACATCAGCAAGAGGGAGTGAAAAAGTGCACAGTTTTTAATGGAGACCTGATCAAGCAGGTGGTCAGTTTGGTGAATGAAAGAGTTGATATCAAGTCTCCAGATTAGGAAATGAGGAAAGAAGAGCAGCAGAAAAAGTGTCCGACAGGTCATCACCATCAAAACTGAAGTCTCCAAGGATGAAGATGAGGAATTGTGATGCAAAGGAGAAGAGAAGTCAGGAATTAAAGTCAGAAAGCATAGTGGTTGAGGAAAGGTCAAGTGATAGAAGTTGACAACAATGACATCTTTGATATTAAATTTCTGATTTTACTGTCATAGCTGAAATGTAAACGAGAAATTTTGGCTGAGGATTCCTGAGAACAGCCTACAGCCCATGACTTTTCCAGCTGTATTTTCATGTTCATAAACTTAGTAGAGATGGTCAGTATTTAAATGGAAAATCTCTAAAAAAAAATGTAGTAATGGTTCAGCAGGTAGCAGTTTTCCCTCTGACTCGTCACAACTGGGCATATGCTGTATAGTATCATAGGGAGGCATTGGCCCTGGAGATAAGACGGGGACAGTATCTCATTTCTGGCAAACTTGAAAGCTCTCAATCTGAAATAGGGGTGTATTTCTAGGGCTGCTGAAAGCACAGAAATTCTGATAATGATTTTTTTCCAATCTGAATCAGAACAAAAAGCCAAAATTTCATTAAAAAAATCATTTTAGGTGAATCAAAACATTACATTTGATAAATTCAGAATGGTTACTTTAGCTGTTCTTTTTTAAAACTGACATTATTCTCATTTTATTTTACACATATTTTATTTTTCATGTTGTACAAATAAAAAACATAAAATAATAGCAAATAATAAATTACAAAAGGAAAAGCTCTTTCAAAAATAAAGAATGTAATATTCTGTTCTAGTAAAAACTATTTTGATTTTAACAAAATTTCCCATTTTGATTTTTTAATCAGATTTTGTTGAAATAGACTTTTTCCTGTAGAAAAATAGTAAATGTGAAAAAATAACCAATTGTACGTGCTTTGTAGGAAAAGAATTAAATAGTGAAAAATCACACATTTTAGAAATTCTGCCTGTTGTCTCCCAAGAGTTTTTGCTCATCTTCTAATAGAAAACACACAGCACCCATCAACTTCAAAATTCCCAGAGATTTCAGCTTGCAGTATTTCCTTCCCAGTAAATTGCATCCCTCTTTATTCCTAATCATACTGCTAAAAAGTCAGCAGCTGGTATATAGCATTTTAAAAGCAAAGCTGCAGAATTTCTTGAACAGTAGCACTATAACACACAGCATTTGTTAGAATTACACTGTAGCACTCAGCCCAAACTCAGACCTCATGGGAAAATGATGTGTATAGTTCACTGATATACCGATGCCTAATGGACATGCGTGTGGATGTTATTAAGGCAGGGTTTTGTGTTATGGCATGATTGCGATGAAAGTGGCTTGATTATTGTATTACAAAACATTTTGGGAGTAAATGGTACTTATTTATAGAGGAGATGGAGTCTGCTAGTGAAAATGGTGAGCATGGTGTAGAACATTAAAGCATTTCCTTGTTTTGAATGTTTATACGGGTGGATTCCTTTAAAGAGTCCTTAAGGGGTTTCTTTTGGGAGAATGTAGCAATTTATCGAGGCTCATATAATTATTATTTAGGGATAACAATACTAATAGTGCAGATATGGCCTGGTTTTCAAGAACAGATTGTTTATCTGCCTCTTCTTCCTTTACAAAATAGAATCTAATCTTGTGACAATAGTTTCACATTTTAGTCGAGGTTTAGCTGCGTCAGCCGTCTCTCTTAATGTCATGTTCTAAGCAGCCTGTCAGTTTGGCTGCCCTCGGTTGGAGTAAGTAGAAGACTAATAGCACTGCATATCTGAGGTAATGAAGTGATGAGTAGCAAAGGGAAAACAAGTGTAAGATATTAGATACACAAATCAATTGCAATTACAAGTAATATTGAAGGCTGTCCAAGAGGGCAAATGTTACTTTGATCGTTCGGATTGCAATTTACTTTTAATACAGCATCAATATTTAGCAAAGGGAAAGTACTGGATGGAGTTGTTATCAATAAAGCATACTGTTTATGTGGCAGTAAGAACTTAGAATACCATGAGTTACAGCAGCCAGCCATTTTAGTAAAGGACAGCATTTTTAAAGCGTCTCCAAGGTGATCCCCACACATTTGTCATACGTTAATTGATTATGGGCAAATACTGTTATGGCTAATTGTCTAATTATTTGGTGTTGAAGGGTGCTGTCCACACAAATAGGGGCATGAGGGAAAATTTGGGGTAAAAATAATTACAAAAATGAACTATTAAAATTAGGACATAGTGACAGAGTGCTTAGGGCATACTGCTCTGACACCAGAAGGTGCAAGTACAAAGCCACACTCTGGCTCTATGACAAAGACTGCCCACCTTTGACTCGGCTGTAAATGGGTGCCTGGTCATTTGGGCTGCGGACTCAAAGGCAGCTGGACAGGATGCTAGTCACAAGGCTCGGGCTCCCTCTTGTGCCATTGGTTATACAGACTGGTGTTCCTTAACTGTTCTAGCCTGGTGGGTTGTTAGGCTGAAGTAGACTTTTAACTTGACTTTTGAAAACGTGTCCCCAGAGTATTGTTAAAATATTAACCTCAGCTATGAAGACATTTCAATAATTTCTGTTTCTATTCTGTATTTAAGATATTAAAGGCATTGCAGATGACTTAGAGACTACTAGTCCTAGGTATATTTTGCAGTGAAACATGTTTTTTAGAAAGTGAGTTTAAGTTAGGGTTTTTCCATCCATTTATCCTCTCTGTTTAAATCCCCCAAGATGCCATTGTCACACTACAGCTTTTAGTCGATACTGCTCTGTAAGGGAATTAAAGGAACAGCAGAAAGCTGCCAGCACAGCGGGAGCATCTCAAAGTAGCAAGCCACATTACATTACCCAAGTGATGGGAATTTAATTGGGTACAAGCATGCCCCAGCCACAATGGAAAGGTGGCTACAGCAACTTGTGAGCTACTTCATCAGCAAGCTAAATGCTGACCACAATCCAATTACCCACACATAATGTATTCCTTCCTTATTAGGTACGGACATCTTTTTATGCTGTTTTCTCATTAAGGACTAAAAGGGTTTTGAAACTGTGAAATGAACCTTTTGTCTGAAAATGGATTTTTGTCTGTATTAGTCATATAGGGGTTATGTGTGGGTTTTCATAATATCCATTTGTTGGTCCCTTATGAATGATCTGTTCTCTACAATTTTTTTCATTCTGGTGCTGCATGAGAAAAGAATATAGATCAAGACTTTCAAAGGAGCAAGATATTTTAGGTGCCCAGCTTAAGATGCTTTTGTAGGGCCTTGTTTTCGGAGAGCAGATGCTTGTTTTTTTCTGAAAATAAGTTCCCTTTAAGGTGTCTGATACTGGGCACCACAGAAGATGGGTCACTCAAAAGTAATTGTAAATAAAATTGCCCACAGACTGGCATAGATAGGGAAAAGGAGGGGGGAGAAGTAAATGCTTATCTCCATATTTACAAAGAAAA